ACAATTTGAGGATTATTTATTTTCTTAATAGGTATTTTTTTTGTTGTAACTCATGGCCCGCTTCTATGAATTGTCTTTTTCGTATATACCCACAGTGAATATGCATTGAAACAAAAAATATGCCTTTTTTTACTTACCTTTTAGCGATATTTTGTAGTATTTTGAAAAAGGGTGATTTTATTGTGATGAATAAAAAAGAACTCCTGAAAAATTAGTTTAAAAAAGTAAATATTTAAGGGATATCCGTTGAAAATTGTCTTTGCCCTAAAGTTTAGGTTAGGAACAAGAACCGAGGTACGGTTTTCACGATCTCATTTACCTACCTTTACATCAAAGAAATCTTACCAAAGCATTTAATATTTTTGGAAAGATTAACAATTTCTGTCAGAGTGTGGAGAAAAGCCCCTAGCGGTCACATGTGAAACTAACAAGACTTCAAATATAATAGCATCTGTAGCTCTTTTCAACTAGCCAAACTCTGTTAAAATCGGCTCATCCATTTCGAAGCTACAAGGTTTTTTACGGAGACCTTTGAATACGCCCACCACTTTATTTTTTGTGTTACAGCAAATATTATCCAACAAAAAAAGTTCACATTATCGGCGACTTTAAAGATAAGGGATTTTTTGATAGGCTAACATAGCGAAATTCACACACAATCTCTGCTTATTTATGATGATTGTTATTGTTACTGCTATCAAAAACATTTTTATTTCGTGTTCAGGTTCCGCCATACCTTGTTAGTTCCTTATAATTTTCGCGCCAACAACAAATTCCTGGCGGCCAACTAAGGAAATATGTATAGTATATAACTAAATTTAGTGCTGAAAAAAATCATAGTTGGTGATGGAAGTCGAAAGAAAAAGCCTGGCAAAGTAGCAATGACAATATGTTTTACTTTTACTAACTGATAATTTCACGGCCTATCTAGGAAATTCTGTTTTATTAACTAAGATTTGGCAATGTCAATGTATGACGTGTATGACGAGGGTGTCCCAGAAGTCGACGTCAAGCCGAAACCGGGTGATAGGCAAAGTCATAACAGCCTTCAGAAAAATATTTAAAAAAATTTTATGTATGTGTTTTGAAAATTATAGGTCTTTGAAGAAGATATAGAAATTTCACACCCTACGGCAGTCTATCAACTCCTGTTACTACAAATATTAACTTTTTTTGGATTTTATTTTTATAATGTAATGAAACTGGTGTCTCAACCTTACTGCCAACTTTTCTCGTTCAGGAAAAATTGCCACTTATTTCCCAACCAAGTATTCCAAAGTAAAACTTTGCTCAACTTTAACTGGCTGTACTGGAAAAAAATGTACTACGAGAGTTTGGCAAGTAACCTTAAAAGTTGGCGCATTTAATAACGATTCCAAAATGGTATAACACTTAGAAGATTACTCGTTAACTTTTGCACAATTTTTATTTGAAGAAAAATTGATGAAAATTTTCCTAATTAAACAGCGATTATGAAAACGCACAAGGACCCTTAAGGATAACTGTTTGCACAACAGTGGGCGTCAAAATGCTGCTGATGATGATTTACCTTTACAGCAAATGCTCAAACTATTTTCCTTCAGCCGCAATACACGCTCGACATCTTCTTAAAAAAGATCGGGTTATTAAACGAGCGAATCCACGGTTATTAACAAACTCAGCAGATTCCAATAGTCTTTGCCGTAGCTCAGCTACATTTTGAATCGGCTTGAAATACACTTTTTCTTTTACAGTTCCCCAGTAAAAAAATCTAAAGGATTCAAATCAGGTGATCGGGCTGGCCACGGTATTGTACCAGACCGCCTTATCCATCGGCAAGGAAAGTTTTGATCGAGATACTCTCTCACTGAGAGTGCATAGTGCGCTGGGTAGCCATCATGCTGAAACCACATGTCCCTGTAAATACTCAGTGGCACGTCCACCAATAAATTTTGTACATGATTTTTCAAAAAATCCAAATAAACTTCTGCAGTCAAAGTCTCTGGGAACTCAAACGGACCGATTATTTTACCATTTAAAAATCCTGTCCAATGGTTTATCTTGAAGCGGTATTGAGATTTATCTTCTCTCATCAAATGTGGGTTTGCTACGTGCCACTCGTGTAAGTTATGCATGTTCATATACCCATCTTTCTTAAATGTGGTCTCATCCGACCATAAAATTTTTTCAAAGAACTGTGGACCTTTCCTGTGTCTTTCTAACATTGTGTGACAAAAAGCAACTCGGGGCTCATAACCCCGGGGCAGGAGAGGTTGAACACGCTGTATGTGGTATGGATGAAGCACATCACTTACTTGCTATTGCACACTTTGATACCGACCAGTACTCCTTCGTTTACTGCGCATCTTTACATGTTCGTGTTTGTTGATTTCGTACTGTTATTAATTTTGGATTCGTGAACCGGACTGTTGATCGCTTGTGATTTGGATTTGGACTGTTTAATTGCTCTTCAAAACAACATTTGCTTTCCTTAGACTATCTTTGATAGTGTGATTGTGCAGTGCCGCTATGTCCGTGTACACCGTACAAAAATATGCTAACATGCACCTCATTTATGGGGAATGCAGATGCAACGCTAGTGCTGCAGCGAGACTTTACTGTGAGAGATACCCGAATGCAGCTCGTCATCCAGATCATCGAGTGTTCACAAATGTGCACCGCTTACTGTTCTCAGAGGGCCAACTACCAAACCAATCACACGGTGAGGGAAGATCTTTCCTTCCTTACGAAGACGTGGTGCTAGGAGCTGTCGAAGAAGACTCGAGTACTTCAGTGCGTGCAATAGAACTAAAACCAGGTGTGCCCAAAAGTACAGCCCATAGAATCTTGCAAAAAAACGTGCTCCATCCATACCACGTACAGCGTGTTCAAGCTCTTCTGCCCCGGGATTATGAGCCCCGAGTTGCTTTTTGTCGCCCAATGTTAGAAAGACACAGGGAAGATCCACGGTTCTTTGAAAAAATTTTATGGTCAGATGAGACCACATTTAAGAAAGATGGATACATGAACCTGCATAACTTACAGGAGTGGCACGTAGCAAACCCACATTTGATGAGAGAAGATAAATCTCAATATCGCTTCAAGATAAACCATTGGACAGGAATTTTAAATGGTAAAATAATCGGTCCGTTTGAGTTCCCAGAGACTTTGGTGCTGAGGTTTATTTAGGCTTTTTGCAAAATCATTTAGAAGATTTATTGGAGGACGTGCCACTGAGTATTTACAGGGACATGTGGTTTCAGCATGATGGCTGCCCAGCGCACTATGCACTCTCAGTGAGAGTGTATCTCGATCAAAACTTTCCAGGCAGATGGATAGGGCGGTCTGGTACAATACCGTGGCCAGCCCTGTCACCAGATTTGAATCCGTTAGATTTTTTTTACTGGGGAACTGTAAAAGAAAAAGTGTATTTCAAGCCGATTCAAAATGTAGCTGAGCTGCGGCAAAGACTAGTGGAAGCAGCTGAGTTTGTTAATAACCGTGGATTCGCTCGTTTAATAACCGGATCTTTTTTAAGAAGATGTCGAGCGTGTATTGCGGCTGAAGGAAAACAGTTTGAGCATTTGCTGTAAAGGTAAATCATCATCAGCAGTATTTTGACGCCCACTGTTGTGCAAACGGTTATCCTTAAGGGTCCTTGTGCGTTTTCATAATCGCTGTTTAATTAGGAAATTTTGAAAAATCAGTTTTTCTTCAAATAAAAATTGTGCATAAGTTAACGAGTAATCTTCTAAGTGTTATACCATTTTGGAATCCTTATTAAATGCGCCAATTTTTAAGGTTACTTGCCAAATTCTCGTAGTACATTTTTTTCCCTACAGCCAGTTAAAGTTGAGCAAAGTTTTACTTTGGAATACTTGGTTGGGAAATAAGTGGCAATTTTTCCTGATCGAGAAAAGTTGGCAGTAAGGTTGAGACACCAGTTTGAAGATGCATTATTCATCATTAAATTGTAAAAATAAAATCCAGAAAAAGTTAATATTTGTAGTAACAGGAGTTGACAGACTGCCGTAGGGTGTGAAATTTCTATATCTTCTTCAAAGACCTATAATTTTAAAAACACATACATAACATTTTTTTAAATATTTTTCTGATAGCTGTTATGACTTTGCCTATCACCCGGTTTCGGCTTGACGTCGACTTCTGGGACACCCTGTATATTTTTGGAATCAAAATTTTTGTGATGAGTTTACGGCACAGTTTCAATCATTTTAAGTCTATGATCATGTTATAGGTATCATCAAATGTTCATAGAATTGCTGTACCTGCATTTGTGAAAGGTACTTAACAATGTTTTGAATTTGCATTTTGTTGAGTCATTTCATGCGATATGAGCATTTTTGACTAGTTTATCTGTTTAGGAGCGAAAAGGTATATTTAAAGACGAACATAATGTACAAGAAAGTCAGTTTATTGCTTGTAAGTTATATAAATAATAATAACTGTGTAAATGTTACCCGAATTATAAAACACACATGCAGGTATAAGTACACAAAAATGTTTACAGCGACATTAAGGTACAATAAATTTACAAACTAGTTGCATCTCAAATATTACATAAATATTATTCGACCCAATCATCAAGATATCTATTTTTCTGTTCCAAAAAATGATTTGGCTGTCCCGTTGTTGTTGACAAGAGAGAAGTGTTGAGGTAAGGGTGATACCATGGCTTATTCTCCACAGCCTGTCCGAGGTGCACAGGATAGTAGTTGAGTGGACACGTTTTCAAATTTCATCGCTTTTACTTTTCGTTATCAGCTTAGGGCACAGTTTCAGTAATTTTGAGTCTAGAATTTCTATACCTGGAGTTTTGAAAGGTACTTATAACCTCTTTTTGTGTCAATCGTTGCGAAATGAGCTGTGAGTCCGTATTTTTGACTCGTTTATCTGTTTAGGAGCGACAAGGTATATTTAAAGAGCAGCATAATGTACAAAAAAGCCAGTTTATTGCTTGCAACTAATAAATAATACTATGTAAATTTTACACAAATTATAAAGCATTCACAAAGTTAGACACATTTTTATACAGACATTAAAGTAGATACAAACTTACAAACTAGGTAGACTGTTAGAGGCATCTACGTGTATATTAAACAAATATGCATCGGCCCAATCAGTGTTGAGGTAAAGTTGATACCATGGCTTATTCTGTCTGAACTGCACAGGGTGGTAGTCGAGTGTATTCTGTGAACTTTGATGTTGGATACACGAAGCGTTATCTTCCGACTGGTTTTTCGGTATCGCTTCAGTCATGCATATGTCGTGGCCAACCTGCCTCTTAGTCACCGAATGGTGTTTAGGCCTCACCGTTTGGATTCGCGATTTGGTTTGACTATTAGTGGATGAAGGAGATGACGCTCGTTGTTCCTCTTCCTTTTTGAACTTCAGCCTCCGGTTCTGGAACCAGACTTTGACTTGGCGTTCTGTCATATTCAATTCTACTGCCATTTCGATGCGTCGGCGTCGGCACAAATACTTATCCGTGCAGAATTCCTTCTCCAGTCGTACAATCTGGTGCGCGGAATAAGCTGTTCGGACCCGCTTCGGCTTTTGGGTTCCACTTGAATTAGGCCTTGCACTGCTCGGACCTGGTGTTGGACCATTTTCTGTATCTGGAACGAAATAAAAGGTCTTTTAGTTTGGCTACCCATCAGTGATTTTCAATATTTATCCGAGAGAATATTGAAGGAAACAAACTTTATTGGCAAATGATTGTTCAATGTAAATTATTCAAAAATGTCCTCAGTTTATTCATTTGGAACAATATGCTCTTTAGCGCTTTGGGATGACATGAAAATTCTAGCTACTTGCCGCCAGTTTGTTTAAGTATTGAGATTACGCAAGCAATTCACTGAAATTTCTGTTCTAGCGTTCTGGTTGCTACGTTTTGAAAAGTCAGTCGCACAGAATTTTTTCAGAAACGACTAAAAAAAAAATGAAAATTCTATTCAAGAAAATTTATAAAATTTATCTATGTTATGGGAGAATCCAGCCTCTTAATAGTAACGTGTATTTTCATTTTTAACTTTTAAATGAAGATGTAAATGAATGAATTTGTATATATAGTATTGCGTGGGTTACTAATTATTAGCACTACACTATAGTGCTAACTCACCTGTCGATCTCTTCTGGCTGTCAGTGCATTCATAGGGAATGCGGACACCCAAGAGAGGTTTCTCCTTGAAAGTAACTTGAGGCTCTTGGGACGACCATGCAAAATTTGATTGCCGGTCGTTTTGCCGTTGTAGATGCAGATACTGCAACAAAGAAATATTGTTATTATAAAATACGTCTATATTTTTGTCTAGAAGCGTGTACAAAACGATTGTATAGTTGGTATTAAAAGTACCCTATAGAAAAAGATGCCATGGTTCCAACAAGTATAAAAACGAAACATCTTCATGTGAAGAACTTGTTGTAAACGATGCTCATAAAACTGGTGTAATTTTTTTTTTTCATTTTCTTGAGTATACCAATGGAAGCAAGCACTGGCTTGACCACTGTATTATTTTCTCTATTCAGAATTTGAAATCCTACTATCAATTATTGTTTTAATTCCTGGTATTATTTGCAAAAGCTTTTTGACGTATATATCGGCAAGTAAAATTTAATCCACCAACAGCTCAAATATACTACTTTCACATAATGCACAGTTTCCAAGTATAAGATGCTCACATATTTGACTAGATCTTGTGAAGATTAAAAAGAGTCATAATGTTTGAAGTAAAATACCAATATCGAAATAAGACCGCACAAAGTGGTCGATTCGATACGGAAGGTATAATACTAGTTAAAATACAACTGTCTTTAACTTATTTTGCTTCTTTTCGTGACAGTGGTAACATGGTTTGAATATGATTCTGATTACGGTTATGAACGAAACTAGAATAAATTTTCCATCTACTCACCACAAAGTTGTTTTCCACATGGTAATTGGAGGATTTAGGGTTTCCTCCAGTTTGAAAACTGCAGTTTCCACCCACGTTCTCAGCAGCAAGCCCAGACGCACTATACGGTGGCGGCGAAACAGGCTCTGTCAGCAACAGGTCGGCGTAAGTTAGCGCACTCTCAAGGTTTTCACTGTACTGGCCAGTTGAAGACATGATGAACTGCAATGAGCTAAACTTTACTAATGACGGGTATTTATTGAATAGTTAGACCACTCCTTCCTCCTTAAAGTACCTAGAGTGGCCAATCGAAGGGTACATCTCCCACCCCTTCTTATTTTGGCAAGGTAAACACTAATCCCTAAGAAAGGAAACTTTTATGATCTCGACAGGCTAGAGCACGATGCGGGTATTGGTACAGTACTGGCGTAATGCACAACAAAATTGATTAAAAAGTAATAAGTTGTCGCATGCTACTATGTTTCAGCTGGTTTACCGCTTGCTGTCACAAAGCTCTTAACATTGATTTAAAATAGTTCAATGGCTTTTGTTGTCGATGTAACGGTGAACCTACAAGTTATACTTTATTGTGTACACAGATTGCGCCAAAATTTATTGGGTATATACAGTACAGCGTGGCGCAAAATGAACGTTATGGCTTAATGAATAAAATAGAAACATACATTTTCCAAAACAAGATTTTATTTAGCTGTTAAAACGAACTGAAAATTTCGATGGTAAATACTTTTAAACCTATAAACAAAAGTGAAGCTCATTCGTGTCAAGTTTTCAAACAAAAGCATATTACGTTCTAAAATCAACCTGAAATGAAAGAACTTCATCATTGTTTAAAGTTTAAACGAAGTGTAAAATCAATTTTTTTTATGCGGAAAAGATATTTCTGAATTTTTAGTTCGGCTTAGCCGAGGAACTCGAACAGGTTAGAAGGAGGCAAGCCGATGCTTACATTGCATTGTTTGTCGCCAAATTGGCCTAGTTTTAGTGTATACTTTTGACTCATTTGCCTAAAGTGACTAAAGTGACATCATCTTCGTTATACATATATTTGCGAATTATATAAGAAGTATCATGTCTTGAAATCGTCTAATACCACAATTATCTACAAATACTTTTTAAAAATCATAGCAAATATGTTATACGTATTTAATGACAGAACTGTCAAAATATTGACATGTCATGTGCACTCTGATCCTCACTACAGACTGACAATTAGCAGTCAAACAAATCCTTAACTGACTCGTTCTGCCTAGTCTGACTTCGTTGGGTTTAACAGACAAATTGTTTCCATTTTTTTTTTCATTTTATTTATTTGTACTTTTTAGTATTTATAAGGAATAACTAGTTTTGTATCAGCCTCGGCTTAAATTTGCACCGCTTATTTCAAACTGGACCCTAATTGTTGCTAAGGAAACTTAGTCCCAGTTTAATTAAATGAAATAAAGTCACACTGCTGATAATATTCAACTCAGAAAACCTTTTCATTTGATACACTTATTAGGTGATATTACGGAAGTTATAAATCGCCATTCTATAGCATCCACCACATTGGATTAAACATGGAGGCATTTAATACATTTTGTATTTCCGGGCGAACCGAACGTGTATGTGAAATTTCAGCTACCGTGTGTTTTTTCCTATGAACCTCTTGCAGATAGCTATTAAACACCCACTTGATGATAAAGACTACCAAAAATTTCATAGATATTGCTCATTTCCAATCATTCATTCATTTACTTGCCATTCATCAGTACCATAATGACACCTTAGATTGATATTCGTACATTTTTGATATCCATACATCCTTGATACCAACTTGACGTCTCTCAAAGTTATGTGTTTATACGGTTGCTATCGCTACTACTACCGTTTATTTTTTTTTTTTGTAAAAATCTAGTCAAAGGTTTGTTTTTTCCATTTTTGAGTGTTGTGAAATGGAATTTAGCAATGATGAGTACGCCGATATTATTTTTGTGTACGGCTTTTGTAATGGAAGTGCTTTTGCGGCTTTTCGGGAGTATCAACGTAGCTTTCCTAACAGACGCCAGCTTACCCCAAGGTGGCGAAATTTTTGTTAGTGGTCACTGCAAATATAATCAAAATACAGATTTTATTGATTTGGTTTTATGGTCAGATGAATCGCTTTTTACGAGGAGTGGAACCTTTAATTCTTATAATGAACATACATGTTCGTTAGAAAAGTTCCGTACTATAAGAATCCACTCGTTTCAACATAGATTTTCTAGAAAAGTCTGGTGCGACATTTTCAATGGCCAACTTTTTATGCAGGTGTTGACGATGTTTAAGTGCAAACTCATACTTAGCTCTTTTAGAGAACTTCTGTGTTAGATGATGTTCCGTTAGCAACGAGAGTACCCATGAGGTATCAGCGCGACGGTGCCAACCGCATGTTCGTCGTGACATAACCGCATGGTTAAATAATCATTCTGGACAACGATGGATTGGCAGAAACGAACCCGCATATTGGCCTGTGAGATCTCCTGATTTGAACCCCCTGGCTTTCTTTTTGTGAGGCCCTTTTAAATAAGGAGGAATAGATAAGGCGTTTCATCTAGTTCAAGCCACAACAAATTTTGCGGAAATACGTCTTACTTTATTAAAAAGATGCCGCACCTGTATCCGTCAGAATGGTGGTATTTTTGAACATTTATTGAAATAAAGCTTTGATTATCTAATGTTTTGCACTCTAGGAAAAATTCGAGAATTGCAGGTTCTGAAAAAAAAAACAGTGGCGGACTATTTTTATGTGGAAAAATAATGCCCCTGTGTGTCTGCCACTGGTGCACATTAATTTTGAGTAATAACTTTTAAATGTGGACATATTTTGAAGATATTAAAAACAAATGTTTTTTATTTTGTAGATTTCAACACCCCGTATCTTTTTAATGAAGCACTCGAGGGAAACTATTACCTAGCAGACACCCCTTAAAATGCGATCATGTGTATGATGCTTTATTTTTGGTCCCAACTTATTCTGTATAAGAACTATGGACATGTTAATATTACGTCCCTCAGGTTCGGTCCTTGGACCTATCCTTTACTCACTGTACAACCATGACGTCCCTAGTCCCAGCAACTGTGAAGTCTATCTCTATGCTGACGATACATTGGTGGCTCAGTCGTGGTCTGGGTACCTAGTCCATGGCAGGCTGCAAAGTGCGGTGGAGGAAGTATTAGATTGGGCGGATCGGTGGCTAATTAAAATAAACCATTCGAAAATGCAGGCAATCTACTGCACAAAAAGACGTCGCGGCGTTCCGTCTGAAGTTTCAATGAATGGATTTCGTATACCATGGGAATCCTCCGCTAAGTATCTCGGTGTCATTCTGGACAAAGGGATGACTTGGCGGAACCATATGGAAGCGCTAAAAACTAAATTCCAAATTACGTTTCGGCAGCTTTACCCATTATTATGTAAACGGTCAAAATTATGTTTGATTAACAGGATTCGACTCTATAAGGTGGTCATAAGACCAGCAATGGCTTACGCATCTGCGGCTTGGTGTTTTATTGCTAAAACACTCATGCGAAATCTGCAGGTTCTGCAAAGCAGGACGTTGCGCACTATTGCTGATGCCCCATGGTATGTCTCTAACGAAACTCTACATAGAGACCTCGATGTCCCTTACCTAAAGGACTACATTAAGCAACAGGCGCAGCGGCGCTATAGCCTAGCGGAATCGCACAACAACCCTTTGTTGCGTGAGTCAGTGGACTACACAGTTGAGCAAGTTCGCAAGCACAAAAGGCCCCGGCCCGCACTGTAATCAAAATTAACTCGTGAACTTAGAACAACCAAAATTGGAGCATTTTTACACAATCTTTAGAAAAAATCAAATATTTTTATATTTTTAGACCATATCAAAATCTGTGAAGTGATTTTAACAATGCCTAAACGCTGCCTATCCTAAAAGATTCTCTTCTTCCCCTTTGCTCTCGTTCTTCCTTCTCTCCTTTCTTTCCCCTTTTTTCCTTATTGTCTGGTTTCTGGGTTACCAGACCTGACAGACTTACAAACTGACACTGCGACTCAAGAGCTAAGGTCCCACGGACCGTTCTGACAACCAACGATGACTTGATGACTTGATGATTACATTTTGCGACCAAGATTAAAAAATACGTTTTTTTCGAAGAGTGTTGGATTTTGTCTTTGTTTCTTTTTTAACTGGTTAAGATCGTCACATGACACCAAAAACAATGCGTAATGTCAATGCCTGACGCAAGCACATACGCAGCACAGGTTCTTATCATCGACATACCGAACCTATCGCGGTGATAGCATGCTCACATCTTTGGAAACTACATCTGAGGAGGAAACTTAATTGCATTTCTGTTGTGTTATTTTTATACATACATATTGCAATATGCATATGCAACTGATTTTGAAATCCCATTACAAATAGAGTCAGGAAAAAATGAAAACGATTTTGTGAAAATTCGGCTTTCTCCATCTCTCTGCGGAAGTACTTTGAATTTCGAAACTTTCTAAGCGGCATTTGTTGACTAACCTAAATACGCAACTTTGCCCCTATATGTAAGCGAATTCATATTACTTACAGTTTCCGAGATCCCAGTGGTGAGGGTCTACTTTGAAACGCCCTGTATACCGGCTGTTACTAGTTTCAGCCCTGTCAGCGCATTCCTCAAACCAATGAGTCAGCCTACAACTTTTGGTTATTTTACCAACAAAAATTACATGACTCACTACATGACCAGCAAGACAAGCTCGGAAGCAAGCATAATCCCGCTTGCTACACCTGTTTTATGACTTTATGAGTCTGTTTAGAACCATGTATTAGTAAATTCTTACCTCCATCCCAGGACCCGAAAGAGGTAGAAGGAACCGCTTACTATCGGCATAAACATCAGTTGTTTGTCAAAAAGGGACCGCTATCATTTAAAGGATTATATTTTGCTCCTGTTCAACGGACGATAACAAGATATTTCAATCTTTGCAATGCCTGGATAAACTGATGCTTGCATTAGATGGTAGCATTTGTTTGTCGACGGCAGGGGTCGACAACCTTTGAGAGCCAAGGGCCTCAAGGTGGCAAAATAAAGAGGGCCATCCAAGGGACAGTGGAATACAAAAAATATGTTTACATACGTCAATAGTTCAAACGAGAATTGCATTAGAAGTAAAACAAAGGGAGTACTAATGATCGTAAAAAATTACAAACAAAGTGCACCAGCACATAACGCTAACATAACA